TCCCGGACTCCCGGGGGCCATTTGCAATAATCCTGAACGACCCGCGCGGCAGGCGTTTGCCTTCCCCGCCCGGGGTCGTTCCGTGATTTTTATTTTTTGTTTTTGTTTTTTTTTTAATTATTATTATTATTATTTTTATTTTAACTTTTTTTTGTTATTGTTGTCGTTGCTCCCCGTCGTGACTGTATGAAGCAGTTTAAAATGTGAATCTCGAAAGCTGGAAGGCAGCTGGACTTATAATTGTAAAGCGTGATGGGTGAATGGAGTCTGAGGCGCATTGTTCACATAAGGTAGCTGAAACAAGTTTGTTTGGTTGGTTTTTTTTTTTTCCTTAAAAAAAAAAAAGGGAAAAAAAACAACCCCTCCCCGCCTGCCCGCCCAACAAACTCAATGGCTCAACTACAAGATGCAGCTGTTGATTAAATATGCACTTCGTACCGGAGTGTTTGAAATGTGTTCCTGATTTGCAGGACTTAACTGTCTTAATTAACCTGTCTGTACTGAATAAACGTGGTCTTGTTTTTATTTTGAGGTCTGTGTCTCATTGTTAAGGGGAAGTGAATTTTGGTTCATGTGAGCGCAGCTACGCAGACGATGCTCTAATAGAAACATTACCCCGTGATCTTCTTTCAGTTGCGAGATCTCCATTTTGCAGACAAAAAACCCCCCACAACAATCCGCATAGTCTGATGCAGTGGGACACCGGTTATTAATGCACGGAGATGCAACTGAGCCCCTTTGTTTGCCAGCAGCGTTTGCTCGTAAGCCACGAGACGCCCCTTTTAGCAGCCCAGAATGTGGCTACTGGAATTTGTAAGTCAAATCATATTGACACCAAAATTAATTGAAGGAGCATATCTTATGTTGGTTATTTACTTGTTTTTTTCTTTCTTCAGGGAGGAAAGACTATATAGAGGAAAGAAGTCTAGGCAGTCACGCATTAATAAGAACAAACTGAAAAAAAAAAAACCCTGTAAAATGCAGAATTTGACGGTGGTGTTGATTAAGTTTTAATACCTGTTCTGAATAGCTTCCTTAGGTAAATCCTACTTTTTTTTTTTTCTGGTCAAAAAATAAGCTTCAAGATCAGAACTGAACACATCAGACTGACTGGAGCAAAACAATCTCCCAACCCCCACTCAGTTTGAGGTAAAAGCTTCTCCTTTGAAGAAGGTAGCAATCCCACATGAAAGAAAATGGAAGATGTTTGCCTTTGTCCAAGAAAGCAATTTGAGCAGCTAGGTTTACTTGGGTGATTAATTTGTTCAAGAATATATTAAATCCACAAGATACATTTATTTTAGATTTCTTTCTCTGCTACCAGTTATTGATTAAAAACTGATGCTTAAGGTTGTTTTTTATAGTGTTTCACGGAAATCCTCATGCAGTGGAAACAGTATGTGTTTATTATTAGCTTTATCTGGACTAATTTATAAGTAGATTGCAGTTTTCCCCTATCAAAGCATGTAAAATGCAAAGGAACAAGTTCAGCGCATTTTAGAAACATTGTATTGTAACCTCCTTAATTGCTAACAGCTGAAGTCCTTTTTTCTCATAACTTATGCTGCTTTTGTGGCATTTTGCACAGCTTGGAAGACCTAGATTTATCATTAGTTCTCGTTCTGTAATACGATGATACAGGGCATAGGGTGTCCTTACTACAAAGGAATTTTTATTTTGAAATTGTGTTGCTTTTTTTTCTCCCTTGATCCAGGAAAAAAGTTCAACAGAATGTGAAAACAAATCTTAGCTTCAAATATAACCACTAAGCAACAACTAAAAAGCTGGTTGCTCTCATATTTGTCCTTCAGATGCTTGTTCAGATATGTATCCACAGTGCCAACGGTGAATTTGAACTCTAGGATGAGTAATTTAATTATCTTTACCAAGAGACGTGCAGGAAATAGGTACAAAAACCTAACGCAGCTGATGCAGCCTGCCTTGTTATACAACTACGGCTGAATGTCTGTGTGTGTATGTCAACTAAAATTATGGAAGCTGGTATGTCTGGCTTGAGTTTTTACCACTAATAATTATGCATCAATTCTACGTTCCCCTTTTTTCCCCCCTCTCCGTCCCCCTCAACAAGTCCAAGCCTCTGTATACTAATGAGAACAGCTAACTTTACAAGTGTCCTTTGTAGTCATTGAAAGCCTTGAGACATTCCTTTTAAGGATTTTACTAGAATAACACTTTTCAATAAACTGGCAGTTGAAGTGAGGCTTAGAAAAGATGCTAATAAATTTCACAGTGACTGGCTGTTTTTTAAGCTTCCTAAATTACTTCTAAAATAGCTTTTACTTTCTCCTTTGTGAGATGCTGGGAGATCTATATATGAAAAGGGTTATAGTGAGCTAAGTGTTATGTAGAGTGTGTGATGATTTGGTAAAAGGATTTTTGGCACTTGTTTCAGATAACTTGCATAACTCACTGATGCGTCTTCATTGCTTGTAATGTGAACATCCTAAACTCATGCCAGTAACCTTTAATATAACATCATATCTTCCTTATAAGTCTTTAAAATTATCTTATTCGAAATAGAGCACATGCAACGTCTTCTTAAGGAAGCGGAACGAATGTGGCTTATTTTGATTTTGGAAGCCAAGTTTTACAAGATGTTGGACCAATTGAAATATTGCCATAAGGTTTCCATTGATTCATTGCAAGTTCTGTTTTTCAAACATTGTCATGCAGCCTTGTGCTGCACTGTGTGAGCATGCAAACCAAAAATGAGCTTCGATATGAAAGTCATTGTCTACTTTGTTTCCTAAATAGAATAAAAAATGTTGAACAGTGAAGTAAACAGTTTTGTAAGCTTTAAATAGATATCTGTGTTTTAAGGGTAGGTTTTCTTTGATACATTTAACCAACTCTGATCCTCAAAAAACAATTAGTTGGTTTTTAGAGGAGCAAAAAGTAAATTTGGGTGCATACTGCATTTGGCCTTCACAGTACGCTTAGATTATCTTCATTAGTAAGTGAAAAATACGGTTTACTGCAGCTTTAAGTTTGGAATATTTTGGAATTAGTATTGTATTAAGCAAGTTCAGCAAACTGTGGATTAAATTTTCGTAATAGATATTTAATTAGGGTTTTTTTGATCATACTTTTTTTTCCATCTCGTCAGGAAGAGCGTTCGGGATTTTGCTGTGGACCGCATATGAACTGTAAGCTCAAAAATAAAGCATCTAGATATCTGTTACAAACATTATTGCAAAATATTTGGGAAGACGTGTATTACATTTACAGAGGGGCAACGTTTGGGGGAGACTTAATTTTTAATATTCTTGTAACCAAATCCACAAAAGACTCAAAAATCCTATTTCAGTGCACCTCTCTGTGGTGTTACATGAACATGGCACAAGGCTACTGCCACAGCTTTTTCATTAGTAGTCTATGTTATAGCTTAATTCCTCCTGAGTTTTCTCTGTGTAACAGAACAAGTGTTTTCTTGACCCCTTGCCTAAAACTCCTTCGCACCATTGCTGTGTCTTGCTCGTTCTACTGTCAGGTATCTTTAGCTTGAGAGAAAGTAATTTAGTTGAGCCAGAAGTCGGGCAGATAGAATGATTTTTGTCTGCTCTTCCGGCCTTGTGTCTCCTGTCTACCTTTTGGCTTACTGTTGGGTATTGCAACGGCATTTAGCTGCTCCTGCAAAAAATTATGTTGCTGTAGTATTTAGGTAAAATAAACATGGTAGGAAAGCAGGGGCTCAGGCCTGAGTCCTTCGAATCTGATTTTAAAGAAGGTTCTTAGCATCTCAGAAAGCATAAGGGAGCAGAAGGTTGTAGGCTGGTTAGCACACAACTTGTGAACTGTCCGACCGGACCAAGCCCCAGTGTCGGTGTCCTCTTGTTTCCACCTAAAGAGCATTTCTCCTTCCTTCCTTCCTATTCCCTGGCCCCACGATTCTCCTCTCTCCCCCTGCATTCTGCCCTTACCCAGCCTGTTATTTCCAGCTTGTAGCTGTAGTCGTTCATCTTCACGTGCCCCTTCTTGTGCAGTTTTCCATGGTATTGCCCTTCCTAAATTCTAAGTAGCGTTATTGTCCTAAAGTGCTTTTAGTAGCTACTTTTTAGCTTACTTTGCCATTTAGCTTCAAAAGTTATTGTAGCTCAATCACTTTTTTGTAGCCAAAATCTGTTTTGATTCATAACTTTGCATGGTGTTAGTAGAAGGACTAGTTACAAATGTCTTTTATGTTACTCCGGTTTGTACAATGTAGGGCAGAAATCAGGTGAAACGTGAGCTGCAGTGAAATCAACAGATGAAGTCAGCAGAAAAACTCCTGTGGACGCCTATGGGAATTTCCTCCTGTATTTTTTAGAAGCAGCTGGAAAACACCACCTAAAGTGCTATGAAAACTATATAAATACCTTTGCAGAGGTGCTATGATAACTACATAAATACCTTTGCAGCAACACCAAAATGACATTTGCAACCTTTTTTCCTGAGAAAATGAGGTTTGTTCACTTTCTCTTTTCCATGCCATACTTCCAAAAATGATATTTTGCCTGTGTGACTAACTTCAACCAAATCTATCAAAGGCGTGGAAATCTTATTCTGCAAATGGTATGACAAAAGACATCCCACTAGAAAAGAAGGAATTAGTGCCCCTATCAAGAGGAAGGTTACAGAGTGCTCAAAGCCACATTATCAGACACTATAGAATCCACAACAGAGTGAGCTACAGGAAATCAGGCTTCATAAATTCAGCGGCACACAGAATTAGCTGTTCCTTATGCAATATCCTGTACCTAGATTGTATTATTTTTGCTTCCTGTGATGTAATCTGGTGATATCTGGTAGAGTAATACAGTTAGCTAAGGGTGCTCTTCATTGCTGTAGGCACTAGGACATCAGTGATCAAAAGAAATGGTAAAAACACCTCATGTCTGTGCACACCTGTGCACAAATCACTAGTTTGGCAGGACTTTCCTGAAGAGGTGTTAAAGAAAGGCTGTAGCTCCTGAGCTATATGAAGAAGTTTAGCAATATGTTCAGTGGCAACCTGAAGTAGAGGTTTTACAGCGGCAACAATTCTAATACCAGAAAACAAACAAGCAAGCAAACAAAAAAACCTACGGGAGCTTTTACAGCTGGAAGCAAAATGGTAAGTTAGATAATAAATAGACCTACTTTCATTTTCTTTGCATGTAGGTGCTGTCAGTCCTCATCTGTGGTGCCTTCTGAGAAACTTCTTCACTCCCCTGAGCGTTGCGAGGCTTGTTGCATCCACTGCCAGTCAGAAAGGGTCACTGATTGATTTTACAGTCCAGAGAGGCTTTTGTTTTACAGCTCAGTGTGATCAGTTTTAGGAGTGGTACTGAATTAAATATATTTTTCAGTGTACATTTGGTGTTATCTGATGAAATAGCACCAGGATGAAAATGTTTTAATTATAGGAAATGGATCCTGGCTGGCTTAATAGGGAGTATTTGCGGCTCTAAGCATTTTGCCACAAGAGGTCGATGCTTATTCTATCTGTATCACAGCAATTGTCCTGGTTTAAAGGCTTAAATCTACAGAAGCTAGGGCTCTAAGTTAAGGTGACATTTTGGGTTATTAGTGTACTTCAATGCACACTGCAATGCCTTTTCATTTTTACAAGACTAACGGTTTCCCACGGCAAACCAAACAAGGCTAAAGGACGTGACTGAACACGTGGCCACACACCCCAGACTCTCTGGACAGGTGAAAAATGAGGGGCCTAGTTAATCCTCTCCTGTTGCTAGAGCAGCACTAGCGGTTGATGTTCTGCAATACCTAGCTCTCGGGTTGTGTAAAAGTATGTCCTACCAAAGCGGTATTTCATCTATATATCATTTTTGTAAGGTAAAAAAGCAGAGATTTGTATTTTTCATCTTGCTGCTATAGCTCTTCTCTTCTGTTAGTTTCCACCAGGCTACTTTTGACAGTAGCTTCCCTCTGCGGCCTCCAATGCAGACTTCCCCTGCCAGTTTCAGCTTGGTCCTGAACAATGTCTGGCTCCTTTCTGTTGGGTCATGAGACAAGGGAACCTTATTCCCATAAGAAAGAAATGTATCAGCCTGGAGCCTCCTGGATGAGGAGCAGAATGGAATTAAGAGACAGAAATTCTCACCTCTGCATTTGTATAGATCTTCTTTTTCATCCTCCCCTTTTCCTTTTAATAGGGGCTGTGGATGTCAAGTACCCCTGAAATCTGCTTACCTCAGTAGGGATCTGGAGGTAAGCCAGAGGCCTATTTTTTGCCTTTCCTATTATTTTGCTGGAGATCCTTTCCTTTAAGGTTGTTAATTTGTTTTGTGACAACCCTATTCTTCAGACTGTGGTAAGACAGAGATGCTCTGGGGCTAAAGAGCAAACATATATGGCTTGAGTGCTTTGTAAAACCATACACAAACACGGGTTCAAATGTGAGTTACTGTCTGAAACGGCACTTGCACAGGGTCAAAAGTGCACATGTATTGTTAAAGTTAACGCTAAAAATAAAAGATAGTCCTACCCAAAGGATACATGCAATTAAACAGAAATAACTTCAAAATTAGATTTGTAGGAAGATTTTAGGATATAGCAAAGACTGTGGTAGAATACCTTTTTGTTTTTTGTATCATCATTGTCAATTTTAAGGTAGACTTTCTTTTAGTACAATACTGCTTATGTCTTACATGTGCCTCATCTTGATAGGTGCTTTTGGACCGGTCTTTCACTAGTAAAAGCAGGCCTTACCAGAGTCTGCCAAACTATTGTAAGAAACGGAACTTCAAATGGGCTTTGTTTCACCCAGCTGTTCCTAAACAAAGCAAAAATCTTCATCATAAGTGAGGTATATCTCCACACTGAATGACTCTTTTAAGTATACTGTCGTCATGCACGAATGACTTGAAATTTGCAGTTAGCATAATACAGATCTGACTTAGGATCATAATTTAATTTATCTGTTATGAAAAGCCTCAGTTCTTTGGGCTTCAGTATTTTTAAATGTGGTTGCAATGTTTTTTTCTCATTCACAGAGATTTCCTTTAGGGTGAGGAAAAAGAAAAGAGAAGAAAAACTCATCCCAGAAGTAAATTGTGAAAAATATCTAATTGTTTTAGATTGTGTCTGTTTGGGGAAATTATATTACAGACTGCTCTTTGCCTTTAAATTTACCAAGCACAATCACCTGGAAAACTAAACTGTATTATCCAGGAGGCACTACTTTTAAATGTGTGACTTTTAGAAAGCTGTAAATTGGAGGGAAGGGATTAACTTGGATGTTAAAACCGGATAGAAAGAGTAAAATTTTTCAGTGGGTGATTTCAACTTTACAAGTAGCCCACTTCAATTTATTTGAACTTGCATGACAGCAGAGATTAATGAATTGAAACCAAAGGTGATCTTTCATTAGGGACAGTTCCACATAATTCAATCTTTAACACTCTAGGAATTGTCATACTGGATAAGACCTGAGCTCTAGGCAGTTTAAGATGTGGTCTCTGATGCTGGTCAGCTGCTTCACACCAGCTGCTGCGTGGTAGAACAGCCCCATTAGTTCTCATCCTCACGTCAAGCTGTTTGACTTCCTCTTGGTTACGTAGCTTAATATCCCTTTCATATTATTGAGTTTTGAATCTTTAGTCATGGTTACAGGTGATTTTCTTGATAGCTGTGCAGGACTGTGGGGGTGGTCCAGTGCTTTTGGCAGCAGGAGACCCGACCTGCTGTGATCGCTTAGCCCATCCTGCTATGCTTGTACACAAAGCTGGCTCCTGCAGAGGGCAGCTGGAGGGTGTTCAGGATGGGCAGAAGGGCAAGGCTGCCCCTGTAAGAAGCAAAAAGTCTAGCAAGCCAGGAACTGTCTGCTGGCTGTGGCTGTCAGATGCTCCTGATTGATAGCTATGTCGACTTCTGGGTGCTAACGCCAGAAGCGGACAGTGAAAGAGCAAGGATGACTGTTGCCCATGGAAGCTGCCCACAGAGAGGTGCACGGGACTAGAAGCTGGGCTCCCTGAGAAGAGATTCTTCAGGAAATATTGGCGCTGACCGGAAAGAGAAGTAGATGCTGAGCAAGAGAAAACCGTCCCCAAAGAGGAGAGATTTTGAGGCAACACAAGGAAGTGAAGGACTCCAGGAAAAAGAATGATTTCAGACAATCCAGACTGAAGTACCTAAGCTGAAACCTAGAGGTGTGTTTAAGCCTCAGTTCCCCTTACTAACTCCTAGAGAGGGTGATTCTTAAAGCCTTGAGAGTGGATTATGGAGCCCCATCGCGAGAGGGAAGAGACTGTTAGAGGCCCATCTGGAGAGCTGTAGGCACAAACAAGCTTCCTGATGAGGAAAAGCAGTGGCATGGCAGAGGAAAGGAAGACAAGCTCACTGCAGCTTCCCCCGGCTTGCTACAAAAGCATGCTGACATGTGGAGACTGACTATAGGCAGCGTTTATCCAGCCCTTTTTTCTGTGTTGATGTTCTTGACTTTGGCACCTGCCTGGGTCACTTTGGAGTTTTTCCTTTTTGCTTTCATTGATATCTGCTAAACTGTGAATTTGCACAGGCAGAACAGACACAATTATCTGGGGGCTTGGCCATGTTTACTTCTGTCTTGGTACTTCCCTGACACCCCAGCACTCGAGATCTAAATCTTTTGTCTAACATTGCACATGGATGCCTCAGCTTCCTCCGTCCACGCTAGACAGAAGTTGAAATGTGGCATTGCCCAGTTCTTATTTCCATAATTGTGGCTATAAAATAGAACTGGGAGATGTGTCCTGCCTCTCTCCTTTGCAAAGTTGCAAAGCTAGCAACTTTGAAAGTAGTGAAGTTAAGCAGTTAAGGCTTCCTCTTCAAGTTACTTCTTTTCTTTATTAAGTTAATTGCTGCTGGGCTCCAACCCATACGACAGTGAGCAAAACTAAATATGAAAGGTATCTGTGATCACCTTGGTGTCCTGGCTGTACGTTCGGCAGCGATGACAAAACTTTTGTCAGTAGCAAGGACCGCAGCGCTTACGCTGTCTGTACGGCCTTCCATTGCAGCCCGCTTAGGATAGTCTTAGTGCTGAGATTCATGGCACTGGCAGAGCTTGGGGTCAACTGCTTTCCTTGAATCACTGTGGTGATTCAGTGGTTAACACTCTTACAGTGTATGGCAGTGTTTCTGAGACTGATTCTGAGAATCTGATTAAAGAATTTGCCACATCCTTGAGTTTTCAGCTGGTTATAAGGAGAAACTTCTTGCCTATGAGGACAGTGCGGCATTGGAAGAGATTGACCAGAGAGGCTGTGCAGTCTCCATCCTCGGCAGTTCTTAAGACCAGACTGGATAAAGGCCTGAGCAATGTGATCTGGCCTCAGAGCCGACCCTGCTGTGAGCAGGAGGTTGGACGAGGGACCTCTTGAGGTTCTTCCGACCTGAATTATTGTATGACCCTGTGATCCTGCAAAGCTGGCACATCCACGCAAAGGAAAATACTCCATTCCAATGCAGTGGATGAGATTTGCCTTGTATTTCCCTAAGTTCTCAGTCAATAATAAGGAATCTAGGCTACATCATTCCCCTTAGCAAGTATGTCAAGTTCAAGACTTTTTCCTGCTATAGCTTCATTCACCCCACTTTATCTTGAGTACTATTGTCATTTATAGTCCTGTCACTCACAATACAGTTTTCCAGGGCTTCTAGACCTAGACCCAGGCCTTCCTCACTGAGATCTATGAAGGCTCAAAAACAATAACAGCCTTTCTCCAGATACCAATTGCTGATCTGCAACAGTGACGAAATCCACTGATCATCTGATATTGCTGCCTCTTTCCTGCCAGCACTGGGAAAGGCAGACAGAAAGGACCAGATGTCATCTGCATGGTTCGGGTATTCTTATACTCCTCCCACAGCTCACAGGTGGATCGTTTGCTCTTACCTTTGGACTCAGGAAGGAACAAACCAGAGCAATGTTAGCATGTGCCCAAGAGTTACTTTTAATTCTAAAGCGAATGAGAGAAGAGCCCCCTCTCTCCCCTGTGAAGGAACTTGTCCCCTGTGTTCTTTAGATGATATTTGTAAAGGCAGTTCTTATCTCAATAAACCTTGTGCAAGAACCGACAACACCCTCCGTGTCAGGAAGCAGTTCATTGCGAACCAGTGACTTGCCAGGCTAATGCCCAGCTAGGGACTTTGCAGGTTGCTGTGACTGGACAACAAAAAATTCCAGTTTTGATCCTTCAAATCCAAAACTGATTGTGAAAATCCAAAGCTGATTCTGTTTGCTATAGAAATAAACAAATTCACATCCTTTGCTTCAGGAAAGCTACAAGCCTGAGACCCCCATTGGAGACATGTTCGTAACTCTGTACATCTCTGGTCTCTGGTGTGTACCAGCTGGCGTTATGAAATTCAAAGGAGAGCCCACATACATGATCTTAATAGGGCAGGGGGAGCCCAGGCAATTCAACTATCCTGAAGTTCGCAGTTTAATCTTCAGCAATGTGGCCCAGAAGTTCAGACCATGCTTCCGAGTGAGAACGTCTCTAAATCTCCTCTGGAATGTTGGTTGGCTGGCTTCTGCGGGGACAGCTTCCCCTAAGCAAAGCAGAGCTCCCCCCAGCCCCAAATGTTATGAGCTTGATTGATTATACAAAAAAGATGGGGAGAGTTCTCTGCCATGGCAGTGCGCTGTGGTATTCGTAGGGGAATCGGACACTCATAACTGAGGCACGTACGCTCCACAAGCAGAGTGGAAATGGCCAACACATCTCAGAGAGCCACCTCTGAGGGACTAACTGTTCCTTCCTAATTAAATCTCAAAAATGTAAAACCATGAATGATTTAATCAAGCCCCTTTGCATCATTGACTCTGGGACAGGAGATCAATCACAGTTTTTTCAAGCCTGCCTTTGCACAAGGGCTTTTCTAGTTCCTTAATTCTTCGTCTCTCTCTTTCCCGAATTTACTTTATTTTTCCTTTGTGCAGGGCATGACCAGTGCTTCGCACAGCAGTGCAGCCTGGGTGCACTACTGACTGCTATCAAGCACTGCAGTCCTCGCCGTTGTCTCCATCCCTGCCTTGAAGAAACTTGAAGAGCTTGTTTGCCTCAGAGCGGAACTGCTGACCTGTCTCCTGCAATGCCTCTTTATTCTGCTCCACTCTATTGTGCTGCTTCGGATTCTTGCTTGGCTGATTTGCTAGTAAACTCGGGTCACCTATATATGTCCTGCGCTCGCATGCCAAGAGGTTAGCAGAGATGTGTCTATCTGGCTATGCGTTTGGCAAAAACAAACCCATCCTTTTGTCACCAAATGAGACGTCATTACAGGCAGCTTCTGGCCTCTCCCTCAGCAAAATTAGGCTATAAAAATTGTAGGTCTCCGTCCTGTCCTGTTTGTTAGAGTTAATGAGAAGAAAAAACCAGTCAAAGGCAGGGGTGCAGGGGCCTCAACCCTTCTTAATTTGGCAGGACAATTTGCATCAACGGTAGCGAGGTGACTCAGCGCGCAAGCGGTAAGTTGGTAGGTGGTTAGCGAGTGCTCCCCTGCTTTGGCAGGGTTGCAGGATGCCGTTATGTCGTTTCTCGGGATGCATTAACACCTTGCCTAATCTGCGCGCTTCCGTGGGGGGTTATCCTTGCACCTCCTGCAAGTGTGAAATAGATGGAGATCCCTGACACGCAGAGTGTTTGCGGGTGGAGATTCGGGATCTGTGCCAGCAGCGTGTGTCGACTTTGAGCCCTCATTTCCCCGTAGAGTGTGGCTCTGACAACGCGGACAGGCACTTCCCGTTAGATGCTTACAGACACTGAAAATAGACACTCCATTACTGTTGCACATTAGCCGACAGTAATGATAGGGGTCTGCTTACTAGTACAGATATATACTGGCAATCTGGCCACTTTTCATGCTTTATTTATCAGGTATTAATTGCAACTTCCACTTACCACCACCAGACTCAATTGCTGCATTGTCGGTTACGGCGATCAGACATTTACTTATTTTTGCTTTTGTTATTAGCATCAGAAAACTCAATTACGCGTGAGCACACATGCATACACAAACACACAGTAGTAGGTTTGTGCTGATGTTTTTAAAGATACACATCTGCTGATACTAAAAATAGGTCCTTGTCAGCAGCTTGGTAATTTTAGGCTCAATGAGAATTCATCCCCATGGTAACTGTACAGTTGTTGAATCATTTATTATTTGAGCTTCAAAATCACAACAGTGCTGGCAATTTTCATCCTTTGAGCATTTTTAAGGACCTTCTGCTATATTGCAGTACTCCTTGCTCCACGTCACCAATATTTATCAAGCTACCAGCACAAGCCCTTGAACTGACTACCTGCTTCTCCTCGTCTGTATCTGGACTGGGATCCTAGACAGCAATGGCAGTTTAAATTGGTTTCACTTTGGCGTTGTCCTGCTGGCATGGCTGCTTGGCTGAGGACGGTATGCACAAAGCCCTGCAAACTCCTCACTGGGAAAGCTGTGCAAGCAGAACTTTAGTGCAGCCCTAAGCTTGGGTGTCTGTCAGAAAACAAGCTATCATCTCAGGTCTCTGTGTTGCAAGGAGACCTGAGATAAGGTGCTAGTAGTTTTTAATGGTGTAGATAGGTGGTGGTTGACTCCAAGCTGGTGGGGGGTACGCTGCCTGGCTTCTGGAAGATAAAAGCTGTTTGTACTTTCTCTCACTTGCTGATAATGCACATTAGCACATTTGTCTTGTGCTAAAACAAAGGAAAATTGGCCTACTTGGCTGACAAAGCATAAGGTGAAACTCAGGCCCTCTGAGCCTGGACTTTCTTGGGCTCTGCTGCCACAGGGCCCTTGGTTCGCCAGAGGGGAGACCAGTGGGGCCAGAGGGGCCAGAGGAAAGCAGCGCAGACTGGGTGGCAGTGATTACCTCCGGTATTGAAACAACAAAAATAGTTAGCAAGAGAACAGATATATATACTGTACAAATGGCATTGAAATGGGGGATGGGGGTGCTGAAAGGAGTTTCAGGAAGTTTTGCATCACAGGCATCAGCTCCCCCATCACCTGGCACATGCTGGGAGCTTTTTTTTTTTTTTTTGTGCTATAGCTGGCTACGTGATTTACCAGCATGCATAATACAGACAGCCATTACATTTTTAGGTAGAAGAGGTTCGGCAAAGTCCCTTTTAATCTGATAAACTAGAATCTGAAAGAATGACCCAGAAACACAGACACTATTCCCAGGTTCAAGCAGTTGTAAAGAGATATGCTGCTTCCTCCTAGATTAAACGTTATAGCAATTGTATGTTGTTGTGACTGATGCTATATTTTTAGTCCAAATGCACTTTCATTTCATGAGCTTTTAAGAGGCTCTTGGACAATCTAATCTACAGGGTGCTTTTAAAGTGGCTTTTGTATTATTAGTTCACCAAGTTGAACAAAGCAAAATGAGGATGTGCGAGTGCCTTGTACGTCTTGCCTGCAGATGCTTTGCACCTTAAGCAGCTTTCCGTAAATCTGTCAGGATCCAAAGCATGTTGTGCATCATTAGCGCAGGATTTGTCAGGTGATCCTCGTGTGTGCTGCGGGGAGAGCCGCAGTCTGCCGCCGAGAGCAGTTCATTTTCCCCTTCTGTGCAGGTCTGTAATCGTCACTGATGCTAGCCTGAGTCACATAGGGGCAAAGAGAAAACAAACTGGTCGGTGAAAGATGTCCTCTTTGAAGACCAGATCCTCACACTGAAGCTCTACTAGAACAATGGCATCTCCATGGTATTCTTCCTTTTGAAGCATTCATTATTTTTAGAAAGGATTTACAAGACTTTGTCAAAGAGTGTAATGACCTAGATGGCAGCGCACGGCAGATGTCAGGTCCCCCCCCATGTTTGATGAGGAGACCTTTGGCTGCCTGGCGCGGGGCTGTGCTCCCCAGGCAGCTGCTGCTCCTGCAGCATCGCGAGCGCCCGGCTTAAAAAGTGCCTGGCCCCTCACCTTGTAGGAATGAAGTCCACCCTGTACTATCAGCAAGATATGCTGTCCGGAGCATTACTGGACAGCCGGGGGAAACCTCCCCTGCGATGCCCACCGAGGCCCTTCTACCCCCTAGAAATTCGTTGCTGCGTACAGCTCCAGGATTTGGGTTTTGTTTTTGTTCCTCACTGGTATTGTAGGCGATGATAGTGCCGTGTAGCTTAATCAAAACAAATTTGACCTGATTCATGTATTTGAATTTTGACTGCATAAGTTTGTGCTGGTTTTGTTTTCTTGAGAAATGGGACAAAGGAAAGATTTAGAGTTCTTAAAGGCTGCTTCCTTACAGCACATATAGTATATCCTTGCAATCGGTACAATCACATGAAAAGCTGCATAGGACTGAAGACATTTTTATATGGGAAAATGGCCTTGCGTCTCTCGGTAAGAACCATCCTCCAGTCAGCAGAGCCACTTATGTTCCCCCAAAGTAAAAGTGCAAGTGAAAAAAAACAAACCTCAAAGAGCATCCCTGGGCGTACTTTCCTCAAGGTAATGGCTACGTCTCTGTTTTATAGGTCCCTTTGGAACTGCCCAGGACTGTGCTGTGCATATTTTCATTAAAATTCCTGTCAACAGTCCCAAAACAATTTTTAATTCTCGAAGATAAACCAAAAAAAAAAAAAAAAGAGCATCTGTTTGCTCAGTCTGTTCATTTAATTAAACCAGAAATTTCCTTCCCTCTGTCAGTTCAGGTCTATACATTTATTCCAGAGCTTCATTGCACATATATAGACAGATTTGGAAGCTGCTGACTTTTTTATTTCCACCTAACAGCTTCCACCTTACCCAGGCTGGAAAGCGCCTGCTGTGGATGTGGTCTCAGCTGTCAGATGCAGCGCTGGGTAACACTGTGCTACAGCCAGACCGCTGCACTGGGAGAATTACTGTTGTGGAGGATCCAGAGGGCTGGTCACAGCTCGCAGGTTTTATAATGAGTTGGGAGGGGGAGAAAATCACCTGCACAATGGACCAGAAGTGACATTTCTTTCCAAACCTGCTGTGGCCGAGAGCTTGTTTCCCATTGTTCTTTCTCCTCTGCACATCGTGCTTCACGTCGAGCTTCTTAGCACTAGCCGACGGGCTGCAGCCCACTGCTGAACATGCCTGTGAAGATCAGCCTGAGCCCCCTACCTCTTTCCAAACACAGTGTTCCCCTTGCCATGAATTACGAAAGTCTCAGTAGTGACCTCAAATCGCAGAATCACAGAACGGCTGAGGTTGGAAGGGCCCCCCGGAGATCATCAAGTCCGACCCCTCTGCTCAGGCAGGGTCACCTAGAGCACGTTGCCCAGGAGCCTGTGAGGGTGGCTTTTGAATATCTCCAAGGATGGAGATATGGTGTTCCTAACTGTGGCATACAGCCAGTACAGCTCACTGTAGCATCCAGTTTTATCTTATTCACTACTTATTTGTATTTACCTTGTTATACCTTTTTTTTTTTTTTTTAATCCTGCTCATTAGGGGAGGAGACATCCACATGCTGCAGTGCAGTGGCAGCATTATTGACCAAGGCTGACCATGGTTGACCATGGCCCCACCACAGGATGATTGCACTGCTGCAGAGCATTAGCTCCTGGAGCTGCACAGCTGTAACCCAGGGCATCACCACAGGCCAGCGCTGTAAGCAGGTGCCATCGAGGTCCCTATTTAATCTGCAGAGCAGCTGTCACTGGTGACCATGCTTGAAAGGGAAACCAAGCCAGCCTGAGACTTGGAGATTAGAGTGAGTTTAAAACTTTGGCTGTAATTTGTCTTCTCCAACACAGAATGCTTTTTTATCTGAAGCCACAGAGAAATAATGAGTATATGATGCCATTACGCTATTTCTGCCATCGCTTTCAGAAAAGAAAAGCTTTAAAAGCCATCTATCAGCTCTATGTTACTAGATTTTTCCATCTGTTTGTAACCGTATTTTCCATCTGAGAGTTTGGCTAGTAAAAATAGCTCCTCTAATATTTATATCATAGCAGTTAGTGACAAGGGTCTGTTAACCAGGAACGGCTCCCTAGCAGCGGGGTGCTCTAGAAACGTTGTCACTTCATAACTTTGCACTTGCTAACGAGTGTTTGTAGGAAGCATTTGTTCCATGTAACATCCCTTCCCGCTTCACCCAGCTGAAACTTGTTAATAGATGGGCTGCTTTGCCCTCTGCTTGGGGCATGCCTTACCCC